TAATGTGATCAACATGAGACTGAGGCGGATTAGGTCCATCCAGAACGGACTCCAAAACACTGTGTAGAAACGAAGAATATCCAACGTTCCATATGATGTTGCATTCCACACTAGCAGCTATCCGGTCCCATTCAAGCCAGTCCTCAGTTCACATCCATTCATTATCCCCAATCTCTAGCATGTAATCGGTCTCGGTCCAGGGGCGGAATACGCTTTGCCGCCGTTGTTCGGAAGGCCGCCGGTACCGTAGATGTTGATGTAGATGGAAGGGTCGCTCTGCTGGTACGCGCCCGGGAAGCTCACAGTCGAGCTAGGCGAAAAGCTTCCTGAGCCCGTGACCTTGATATTCGCACACGAAATGTAGAACTGCGCACCCTTCACCTGATGAGCAGAATGCAGAGCCAACAACTCAACACGCAGCAGGTACTCCCCAGGCGCAATACACTGCGGCAAGTTGAAGTAGCTCCAGCCCCCATTGTTAATCATCTTATCGACGCCCCATAACCCAGAGCTCGTGTCCAGATTATCCTCGGCGACCTTGAACCATTGCAGTCCTGTAATCCCGGTGCTGGACGCGCTGGGGACTTTGGCGAGCCAGGCGGTGATGGGGCCCTTGTGGGACTTTGCGATTGGGTTGTCTGGGTCGCCGGGGTACTGGGCGCCGCCGATGACGTGTTGCCACCAGGAACCGATCTTATCTCCGGGAGCGACGGTGATGACTTCCTGGGAGGATGTTGCGACTTTTCCGCAGATGATGTCTTGGGAGGTTACGTCTTCGGTTGGGTTATTTTGGTTGGGTGCCCTGAGACCTGCGAGGGAGCCGTACTCTTTGCCATTCACGGATACTTTCTGCGAGGAAGTCGACGGTTAGCTCGGGAATTGATGAAGTTTTGGGAGAGGCTTGCCTGGAAGATGCAATGTCCTTGAGCAAGGGCAGCGCAGGCCGCTAGCAAGACCACTGATACCTTCATGTCAACAGCCTTTGCGTAGAAGACGGAATAAATCAAACAAGATGTATATGAGATTAGCACGGTAAGTAATAAAACCGGTGGCTGAAAGAAGCTACAACACTAGCCGCACATTCTGGAAGTGGTGCAGATGTCGTTTGTTCTTGTATAGGACCATTTGCACGTATTGGCTCATCTTCCATTTCCACGGAGACACTTCCGAAGCTAAGAAGGCGACGCGGCCCGATACCATCAGCATGGTAATTCAAATTCGGAGAAGAAGAAACGGATTCCGGAGACTAGTTAGTCATTGATCTGCCAGCCGTGTTGCGCAGGTGGATAGATCACACTCTGTGATGTTCGCTTACCTGTCGCAACGGAGGGCTCGTTCCGCTCAAGAGTAACATCAATTTAGGCAGAAAGTGTCCTGGCCGTGGCTTAATCAGGGATGGATGACTTGTAGACCGAGTCAATTAGATGTAATTCTCATATGAAGAGGCACGGTCGACCTTCACAAAAGGATTTGTCCGGGGACCGAGAGTTCTGATCTTTGTTGGGCCCCCGACCACAGACCGAAAGAATCTTGCTTAGAGTGAAGTGGCTATCTTGTTGATTGCCCCTAACACCCAGCGCTTTCATGGATGCAATACTATTTCTTTCGAATTCATACTGCCCCGCCTTCCATTTTCGTAACCTGGTCAATGAGGTCGACGACCGTTTGATCAAAAGTTCGGTACTCGAAGCCAAGCTCCCTCGCGGCCGTCTCCCCATCCAGCCCATGCGATGTGTCGATCGCTTGTTCCTCCAGCGCAACCTTGCCCTTGGCCCAATCAAAGTTGTCCTCAATGATCTTGGCAGCCAAACCATATGAAAAGCGATCCCTAGCGGCCGGAACAAATCTCCTGTTACACACCTCCGGTCTGAAGAGTGCTTCCACGTGCGCCACCGCAAGATCTCTGACATCGATCCAGAACGGAACCCGAGCAACAGGAAGAGGCTTTTGCCCGCTTGCAATCTTCCAAAGCATTGCATTCGACTCGTTGAGATTGTCGGCGCTGCTTACGGGGTGAACCACGGGACCGAACGTCATTGGCGGACACAGCGTCACGATATCGAAGCCGGGGTTGTGCTCCTCAATAAAGTCCCATGCCGCTTTTTCTGCGAATTTCTTGGAACCTCGGTAGGCTACTACGGCGCTTGTTTCCGGAGATGCGGCTTCTTCGTAAGTCAAGGGGTTCCAATCTTCACCCGTGTATGTAAAGTATGGTGGTGCCTTGCGGTTGACGTCGAGGACGGAGGCGAAGGAGGAAGTGATGACCACCCGAGTGATTTTTGGGTTGGTAACAGCTGCTTCGAGGATAGAGCGTACGCCATTGATGGCTGGTGTAATTAATTCCTTTTCGTTATTCTTCGTGTCGTAGGTAAATGGCTGCATGAATCAATCAGCAAAAGTTTAGTGAACGCTGGTCTCCATTGCTTAGGGAGAATCCTCACACTGGCGACGTGGACCACGCCGTCGACATCTTTGATAGCTTCGGAGAAGACACCAAGTTTCTCAAAATCATCAATCTGGACAAACTCGAGCTTGTCGGCGTACTCGGGTCGCTCCTTGATCATTGCATTCCCTTTGGCGAGAGATCGGGTGGCTCCGCGGACCCTAAGCCCCCGGGACAGGAGTACATCTACGACGTGCGCACCAATGAATCCTGTAGCGCCAGTGACTAAGACATGGCTCCTGCGAATGTGATGTGGTGAGCTTGGGCGCTATATACTCTTGGCGGGATCTAGAGCAAGCACATGTACTCACGGGATGCTCGACATCTTGGATGCCAAGAAGTTCGCGGCTGAGGGCCAGGGGCCTATCGCGGGAAGAGAAAGGCCGGCGATTTGGTTTCAGGTCTTGGATTATTCGTGAACCGTAACGAACCTTGAGGCAGTCCCGGCAGGGCGGTTGGTAAAATCGAGCACCTAGGTAATAGTTGGTGAGATGAGTGGTCGCCTAATTTCCACAGCGCAAGGCAAAATGCCCCTCACTCTTCGGCCAGCTTTATCCCGACTTGGCGTCGGCCTTGCAGTGGGCCTGGGGTGCCTGGAATCATTTGTCGCACTGGAATTCGCGCGCTCCTCTTATTGAATCCAGAATGTGTAAGCTGAGCGATCAAGTGAAGGTGAAATGTTGTCGCTTTGGATTGGAAGAGAAATGGTTGGAACTTTCCCTTCCTTCCTTTCGGATGACCAGCGTCACCATCGGAAGGAAAGGGCACTCGCCGTGGACCCACAGTACCTGCCAGCTGCCAGTCTTGTCCTCAACTGCCAATGTAACGTCACCAAGTCTCCGTAACATGCCTTCAGACGCAAATTATTGAACACCACAGAATTGCGAGAGAAAAGCTTCAAGCAAGGGGTCTTCTGAATCTGGGAAGGATTCTCTGGGCTTGAAACACTCCAGGTCGTTGGAATTACCTTGAGGCGGCCGGAGGCATCTGAAGATGCAAAGGTACGATCGATCCTCCAGCACGAAGTACGGAGTTCAAAGTGCAGGTACAGAGTGGGGTGCCCGCTAGTACGCACCTACCTTACCTTATGTCCACCTGCCCCACCCCACGCATCTTTGACCAACGAGAATCGACAAGTGACATTCAACCCAACGTCTGGCAATAAAATGCACTTGGCGAACATCTCTGGATTGATACGCGATTCACCTGTAGAGCATTAACTGCGGAAAATCACTCAGGGTTCGTCTGAGACATTGCCTTTTTGATGTTTGCCTATTTCCCTGAAGGACAGTACAGTAGCTGTTTATAAGGGTGGAATAGGATACCTCATGTGAATTTCCTGTCATAAAGATAACCCGCTCGAACCGGGCCAAAGAAACCCCCCCCCCCCCCCATGAGATAGCCTTGCTAGAGAACCTGCCTCATAATCGTATTAGATCCTGTATGTCAAGTCATATCGTCAAACTCACCATCGTATGGTGTTCTCACCAATGAAAGTGAGGAGCTTGCTGAGGACAACGCTGACGCCGAGATGTGTTTCCGTGGGGAGAGCCAAGGTTGGACCAAGGCTTTCTGGCGATTTTATTGAGAAGAAGAGGTACGAATCTCAGGTTTTCATGATAAGTTACGTTGAACAATATGGCGTGTGAGGTGGTCGTTGAGGTGGGTCCACCGGAGAAAATGTTTTGTGGGAAGGAGGCACCTCGATGGCTTCGTGTCAGCGCCTTCCGCCCCTCGCACCTGAGGCACCATGAATACGTACCAGGACACTCTCATCCGATGGATTGAGACCTTCATATACCCACTTAACTCTGTTTCTGTCACCAGCGCAGCAGGCGACCCCTAGGCCGGGGTTCAGGTCAAACTGTGGTGTGGTGGTGGAACGGTTCATGGCCAACAATCAATTCGCCAACCAGCCTACTCGACGACAGGCTCAGCGCATACGAGAGTACCCAAGTTCGAATCCCAGCATGAGCACCAGAGATGTAGCCCCCAGTTCAACACCGGGGGGGTGACTTCTTTTGCCATGTGGACCTTTGGGTCTTTGGGCTTCGATATATATTTTGCTCTATAAGTAATGGAATTCAGTGATAGTAGATAAGATGACGCTACTCCGTAAGTATCTTATTCCCGATTATATATATAGTCCTTTCTAAGATTCGATAGCTCCGAGGAAATAAAGGAAAGAGCTGTGGGTAAGTAATTTACCTTTAGGTACCTACGAACCCATGCCCCCCTTTCCTCCTGCTCTTTCTCTATAACTGCTTTCCTCAACAGCTCCTTCTCACTTTTCTGTTCAATTCCTGCGTCACGTGCATCAGTCCAGCTTACCACTGACATTTTTCTGGGAGCCGGCAAAGTGATGCCCCACATCTCCTCTAGCGGAGATGGAATGATCACAACCTTCGCCTCATCCATATCCCACCGATGCACTGATCTGGCAGACTTTTCATCACGACACACCAATATCTCCTCGCTTTAACCGCAAATACATTTTCAGCCTCTCTGAATTCCAACTCGAGCAAGCATCGCACCTCCATTGCATTAAATGCGCGAAATGGCATCCAAGAACAGAGCGACGCCCGACTCGCACGATGATCTCGCTCCTCAGCCTTGCAAGAAGAAGGCCCGAGTCCACAGCCCTGAAAAAGCCTCCAACGGCAATACTGGCATCTCGAATGACCCGAAATCTCTCGCCGAGGCCGATGAGAATACCTTGCCCTGTCAGAAGAAGGATCACACCAAGAAGGACTACAAGAGGGACGACTCCAAGACCCCAGAGAACCAAGTATGATACCCCCTTTCCATTCTCAATGGTCCGCAGAAATACACTGTGAGTTGAACTGACTGGCTGGAAACTCACTAGGACCAACCGAAGTTCACCACCTTGGGTTCATCCACGCCCAACAATGACATTTTGCCAAGCATCGTCGACGAGATTGCCTACGACGCAGATGATGAGAGTGACATCAAGTTCATCGATGCCGAAACGCACTACCAGACCGAGAGGGCTCAGCGTATGATGATGTACCGCCACAACCAGGTCGAGATCGATGCCAGTCACGAGTCTCCTTCGACAGACACTTCTGGCTCGTCTATGGAGTGGGAGCCTCTCTGCAGTCATCTGGAGACCATTCCAGAAGAAGACTCGGAGCTTTCTGAGTCTTCTGTGGCCGATGAATGGGTCTGGCCCGAACGTGTAGACACGTCCGAGGGTCTCGATTTCCACTTCAACTAGCTGGGCCTTCCATTCGCCATTCGTGAACCCTGCCAACGTCGATGTGCGCTAAGCCCAGACGCACTCAACAGGGCAATGCTGCAGGATGGTGCCTTCACTTCGAGAATGCAAGACAAGGGCTCACATATGGCAGGCCTTTGGGGTGGAGAAACAAGAAACTTTGGTTTTCGGCCGCTGTGCTACGAGAGTCATCTTTGCGGTTGGAGATATTCAAGAGCAGTTGTGTATGCCTTCTTGGCACTGAGACTGTGTACAAAGGCAGCGTTGTATTCATTGTCTTCTCAAAGGAGAGGTAAAAAGCCTGCATTCCCTAGCGAACGGGCCGCTTTGGCCCTTGTTCTTGTCAATAGAATATGGAAAGTTTCTTTGCTAGCCAAATAATCAAGGAAATCCAGGTAGGTGAGTACTGAACCATGGAAGGCAGACTATCAACTGCAACTAGACAATCCCTCCAAGTTCTCTTATGTCCCCTGAACTAATCACACCCCAACACCACTGACTTGCCTTCTCTGCCTTTTCCGCGCCAACCTGAAGCGTCGCCTGCGTGATGAACTTCTCCGTCAGCTGGTCATCAGACATGGGCACCTCGACGCTTCCAAGGGCATGATCGACGTGCTTCTCAATTGCTTCTTCAACACCGCGCAGCTTGACCACCAAATGACACTCATCGGCTCTCATTGACTCGTCAACTGTCGCCTTGAAACGGTCTCTCAAGCTAACAACAGGCGCACTGGTGACAAGCCCGTCCTCGTACTCAACTACAGTCGCCCTCCCATACAACAAGCCCACCGCGCCGCCGTGGTAAACGCTGAACTTGGCTTCAAGACCATCCTTTGGTGTTTTCTTACCAGTGAGCTCGAGCACAAGATAATGAACCGTCACGTCGACACTCGCGACCTCCTCCGTGGAGATGCCTCGTCTCTCCAGTTCATGATGCAGCCATACAGCGCCCGTAATAACCGGATGGATAACGATACCACACGGGAAAGGCTTGAACGAATTCTTTTCGATCTCCCACTCCCCCGACCCTCCCTGTCCAAGACTCTGAACCAGCTCATCCAAGTTTTCCTTTGTACTGACGACGTTGGCCCACCCTCGTCCAGCCTCCAACGCCTTGGGCGAACTCGTGAATCCTTCGGCAGCTAGAACCGCAGCAAGAATCCCGTTCTGCGCGGCGCGTCCGACGTGGAAGGACTTCGTGTCTGAGCCGAACATGTCGCGGAGACCCGTGACTTGCGTTGCGGCGATGCCGATGGCGTGGGCTATTTTGTCTGCTGGGAGGGCATGGAGCTTTGCGATGGCGGCGGCGGCGCCGATGGAGCCTGTTGTGCTTGTGATGTGCCTTGAAGGAATTGTTAGCCCCTGTAGCTATGTGTGCATGAGAAGAGTAGAAGGAGAGTACCATCCAATATCATAGTGCTCTGGGTACACGGCCAAGGCGACCTTGCACTCAACCTCGATGCCGGCGACCAACGCCGTGACGAACTCCTCCCCCGTGACTGGACGCTGCAGCGTCTCTGCGTAACTCAGCAGCGCGGACGCGACGCATCCCGTCGGATGAACAATCGTCTCGAGATGCGTATCATCGTAATCGTGAACGTGCGACGCGATGCCGTTGATGAGAGCAGCGTGTTGCGCATCGATACGTCGATCGGATCCCAGCACCGAAGACGTTTCTTTCCCGAAAAAGGGCGAGAGGGCTTTGAGTGCGGTCTGCGTTGTCGGATGGGAGCTTCCGCCGATGGCGCAGCCGACCCAGTTGTAGAAAGAGCGTACGGCTGCTTCTTTGACGCCCTGGGGGAGGTCGTTGTAGGTGAGTGAGGCTATCCACGTTGCGGTGCTGAGGGTTGCCATGATGACGTCATTTGGCTTGGGAGAGGTGTGTTTTGCGGCTTGGTGTGCTCTGGTTGATATTTGATGTTTTTAATGATTTTATAAATGGTAATTGGAGGGTCGTTCGTCGGAGCGAGGTCGGCGGTGCATAAGAGCCGGTAATCATGGCGCCGATATGTGTGCCGCGTTATTGCCGGCTACGACACTGCAACACCACATTGACGGAAGATCGAGAATGACGACGTGAGTTGAAGTATTGACACACGCGAACCGCAAAAGTAGTCGATGTTTTTGCAATATATTGGTGTCGGTGCGAATAGGACTCTATTGACCTCATAGTCGGTAAGACCTACCTTTATGTCCGTTGCTCAGTTGTGGTACAGGATGATATCTTGGCGGTGTCGCCATAAGCGATGGAGTCGTGCAACCCTTGCTTGTGGGCGGGTATCGCTCCAATGAGGATGAAGCTACCGCCTCGCGAATATGACCCGAAGACCTCATGGTCGGAACTTGGTCCTTTGTTCAAGAAAAATATGACATGCTTCCCCCTTCCATTGATCATGGAGAGTCTGGTGGGCACTCAAAGTCGGAATTTCTATTTGTCGGTGCACTGTGTTTGTCCTCATAAGCTTGACGTGCTTCACCGCCCACCACACTGTGAGCAGTTTCGCTTTGTTATTAGCCAAAGGGATCGGAGTGTCGAATAATTAACTCACGGGTATAAAAAAGAGTTGACGGTAGAACTGATCCATGCTCTGCCTCACGTGTCCAGCGCTTGACCGCGCGGTAAGGTCGTGAAGGGACTCAGTTCAGAAAGAAGACTGTTCGTAAGTAGCTGGAAGTCCAAAGATCGGGTATCGTAGTAGGATTCCTAGCAAAGGTAAAGTAGTACAGGTGTTTATGGTAATATATATTAGAACTCGTTGTGAGGAATGGCTTCGTATCAGTGCAGTCTCGGATAGGAGTGTCTGTAGGTAGACACAGGAAACCGAACATCCGAAACGTCGACTCGACTATCAAGAAGCAGTAATTCGACAACGAACATGAGTGGCAATCGCGGTGCTTCGGGATCCACAGGGAGTTCCGACCCCACAAGGGTTCCCGGACCGTTCGATGTTGAGACTCCTCAATTATCTTCAGAGCAGAGAAATCAGCTTCGGAGGGAGTTTGACGCTTCGAGGAATACGTTTACCTTGGTTGTGAGTTGTTCCATCCTCCCATCTCGTCGCAGCGATCCCATCCCAGGCAAAGTGTATCTTGGAGGGAATTCTGTCTCCAATATGTGTCCGAGGGTGTGCTCCGCTGAATGATGGCTACTGACTGTCTAGCAGGCAGGCGAGAGTGCGATGCAGGCAAGGTTGATGAGCCAGATCTCTCCGCAGGCGATAAGAGATGAGAGCGGGTCGGAAGGAGAGTCGACGGCCAAAGCCATGGTGAAGACACGTGTCGAGCAAGAGGAAATGGAAGCACAGCAGCAGCAGAGTCAAGAGCCTCAACAAGATCAGGCATCGTTTCAGTTACGTCCGACTCGGAGGATTACGAGTCCTTGAGCAATGAGGAGAAGAGCAAAGGGTCCGGATCTGGGTCTGGGTCCGGTGGGGAAGAGACTGGTGGCCAGGGAAGCAGCAATAAGAGAGCACCCGGGTCCGATGTCGATGATTCGGATGACCATAAGCGGCAAAGAGCTTCGTCGCAATGATCATATGCCGTGAGGCAGGGCACAACACTGTGGCAGGCAATGCGCAAGTGGAATCGAGATGATCTCCTACCTCATACAGTAAGCGAAAGACTCTGGGAGTCCATGTCAGATATCGCCTGTGCACAGTCGGGTCCTCAGTGACCGGCCAAATATCAACCGCTATTTTGCTGTTAAAGATTAATATCTCTGAATAGTTCTACAGAATCGTCCTCATGGCTTGAAGCATCCTTGGTGGACGAGCTACTTATTGCGAGTCTGACCGATATGTACCTGGGTAATAAGCTGCTCTTCTCTGAGGAAACAGCTCATGGGCATTCTCAAGAGTAGTCTTCCGGTCGTCGGCCGTTGACAAACTTCCAAAGCCGGCTGATCTCATACACCTTGGGTCCTTCATTCACACCATTGAGATGATGGTGTGCAGTGCCATCAACCCCATTCGTGAGATTGCGCTGCTCGTCAATCTTCCAAGGATCGTTGTGAACCTTTGTGCGGGACGCCATGAAGGTATCCGGGAGGGGCGAACCATCTCCATTTGTTTGAACCTTGCTCAGATTATTGTCAAGAGGAAAGGTGTTGTCAAGATAGTGCTGGTTGAACTGATGACCGGAACCAGGTCGCTCAATAAGCGCACCCTCAAACTCGTTCCAGTCAGGACTGAGGTGGTTCGCCTGCTTCGGCTCCTTCTTGCCAACGGCCTTGATGACTTCCGTCTTCTTATTGACGGAGATGAGACCGGCAATTTCTCCAAGACCGAGGAAGCGTCCATCTCTCTTGGCAGTCTGCTTCTTGAAATGCAGGACACCCCACCGAGATACAAAGTCTTTTGAGTTGGCGTAGTGCTCGATGTGGCGGATGGCACGACCCTTGGGTCTGGGAATGCCGTGGTCCCTCTTCGTGCGGGGGTTGTTGAAGTGGTTTGCGGCGTTGCCGAAGGTGTAGATCTCAAGCTTTTGCAGGACTTCACGGGGGTGTTGGTTGATGAGCCAGTCTAAAATGATGCTTCCCTCAAGTCCACCTTGAGAGTGAAGAATGAGAATGACTTTCTTCTTGTCTTGGTTGAGCAGAGCGGTGGAAATGTGCGAGAAGCAGACTCTGGTATCGGTGGTACCGAAGTAGAGGCAGCGCTCCAGGAGGCATTGGATCACGTCAAAGATGATGCCAGCACTGGTAAACAATGTCAGCGTGGGTTCAGACAGCATAGAGTCTTCTTACTTACGTCTTGTTGTGAACACCTTTCACTCTTCGATGGAAAGTGACGGAGATTCGGTCAATGTTGCTCTGGAGCCAGTTCTTGCTGTAGATATATGCTTAGTTCATGCAATGAGTGTTTTGAGGCCAAAAGTCCTTACCCGACAGCAACACCGTTGAGGAAAATCCACTCTTCCTCGGGGTGGTTCAGTTCCCACTCTCGCGCCGCGGGAGTATCGGCCGACCAGATGAATCCTTCAGGCATCCAGCCATTGAGCCCGATACACGCCAAATAGTTGATGCCGATGAAAAGGCCCACGTAGGCAACAAAGATATTAAAGGAAAAGAAGGAGAGGAAAGGCAGGGAGATCAAGAAGGCTGATTGAGTGACGATGAGAATGGAGTGGAAAATGATGTCACGAATGTTGTTCCAAGAAGGGTACAGCTCGTCCATGGGCCCAGAGTGGAAGTAGCGTTGAGCCCATGCTTCGAATCGTCGATGGAGCTGGCTCACGAGAAATCGAGGCTGCTCTTTGAATCGGTTGTCGACTCCGAGGTTGAACGAGCGAGCTGGGGGCTGCGACCAGAGTGGCAGGACAATGCATGGCAGGAAAGCAATGTTCTTGCAGAACAGGAGCAAGTCGCTTGCGAGAAGGGTCCAGGGAGCACCAGTGTAGTAGTACGGCTGCTTGAGGAAAGGGTCGGTGCCGTTCCATGTTACATCTGCTCCGCGGTTCTCTTTACGGAGACGAATGTCCGACCCGGTCCGGACCTCTAGCTTCTTCTCGTTGACATCCTTCGGAAGGGAGTAGGTGACTTCGACTGCCGCCATCTTTGGAGGTACATGCAGTTAATAGTCTTCGTGGAATAAGTTGTCAATAGAAATGGCGCCAGGTAGCAGCGATGCCGCCGGATAGCTGGATCAAATACTGCTTTTGATTCCCTTGGAAGGTGATCTGAAGTCTGGAGAGACTTCAACTTTTAGGACTGTTGAGGCTGTCCTGATGCCCTAAAATGCCAAACATGGTGGCCACCAGGGAGGAATTTCAGGCAGACCTTGGTGTCTTACTGTCACATGCTGGCAGTAACAAGTGTTTTCACATGTCGTGTCCGTAACTTGAATGCTTTTAATCGTGATCGAATGATTGAGGCTTAAGAGTGAAGTTTCCCCGGTCCCGGTGGTTCTGCTTTTGTGATTGCAGGGCTGGAACAGAGTTTCCACCACATTTCTGCCCGCGACGATTCCCAACAACCGGAGCAGCGTTAGACTGAAGACGGCACAGATGGCTTTCTGACCCTGAATTCGCTACAGATCCGAGTGCCTCAGGGCAGAGTGTGAGAGTTGGTATGTCGGACATCCCTTGACTTGGCCCCTCAAGACAATTGCAAAGCTAGCACTGACAAGCTGAAAGCTAGTCGGATGATCACCAATGTCTTGTCTGAGACATTTATCGTAGCTGTGAAGTTCGGAGTTATCTCCACCTGCATGCTGCCCCTCCTGATTACGCACGCTTTACGAATGCTTCTTGAAGAATGGCTGCCCCAAATCCGCTTTCGACCCGGTTGCGGGCCGCTAGACTTCCCGTCTGCCTGCATGCGTTCTCATATTCTGGATTGTCTATCAAAATGATAAGCACCCCGAGCCAATTGGGTGAAGACAAGAGCATGCAATGTTTCGCCAGTTTATCGCGACCTTAGGTTCTTCACCCCCAGATAGCCAGCTAGAGAAGAAGCAACCGGTCCGTCTCAGTTGCCCGTTGAGCCACTCCGGCATCTAGTGAGACTCCTGGCGGGAAACCGACCAATCATCAGACCTCATGGGCTACAGTCACATCACATTGAGGACTAGCTTGACTAGCATGAACCGAAAAGCAGAGCCCTCGTGAAATGCGATCTTCTGCCGGTATGCCCTATCACGGCTGCGCCCTCCCGGTGGAGATTGCCCTGCATGTGGTGGTATTAAACTAGTGTGCAAATAGTCTCAGCGCCCGTTAGGAAATGCAAGCCCGCAGAAACTCACCCCAAAAGACAGCGGCAAACACCTAGTTGTTCTGAATGCAATGTCGTCTTTCGGATTTAGTGAACATGAGTAACCAACCCCCAATCGCCCCGACTTAACTCAAAGAGCTATCGGTCCTCAGCTTTTGGGCCTTTCAATAACAGAATTGGGGTTCTCGACTATTTTACATGCTTGGTAAAGTTGTCGCTCGGCTTACTTTTGCCTTCAGAAAGCACATACCATCTCTGATGAGTGTCTTGCAAAAACATATTCAAGCAAGCCACATTGAGAGACGTCGTGTGATTGTTTACATCCTCAACGACAATTCTTACTCCAACCAAATACAGGCATAAGGCTAGTCACCCCATTAACAACCAGAACGAAGTGTCTCTCGGATGATTGCGAACATTCTCCCGTCACAGCCGAGTAAGACTATCCGCATCCGGTCATATCACGAGAAGATGAAGCAGTCAACATTTTGAATATTAGGAAAGCATGTGAAAGTCGCGAAGACCCTGTCTACCGTTGAGAAGAAGTTTTGCACACAGTCTGTCGTCGATAGGAATGCGTTGACTGTCCTTGCCCGTCTGGGGAAGCCGCTGCGGGCCGTAGATACTTGCCGGCGCTTGACCTTATAAGACGAAGCCATCATCCAGCAAACGGTCGGGATTATCAAGTGTACATGTAAGTTATCGGCTCTTCCTTCTCTGAGCGGCACTTAGAAGTCCTTAGTGCTCTTTGACGACAAGAGGCTACTGCTACGAACAACATCGTGATGGAGGGCACAGCGGAGCCCAACGGTTACGACCATCAACAGACCAACGGTCTCAACGGCGAGTCCAACGGTCGAATCGAGCCTGATTACACAGAGTCCTTCGACACCCCCTATCCGGCCATGGAGCCCCGCGAGGGATACCGCCAGGCCGGCGACACATTCGACCCTGTGACTGGCGCATACCCGCGTATCTCCCGCCCCGTCGAGCTGATTCGCCCGTCTTATGACGTCGTTGTCATCGGCTCCGGATATGGTGGCGCCGTCGCCGCCAGCCGCATGGCACGTGGCAACAAGAAGGTTTGCTTGCTCGAGCGTGGCAAGGAGAAGTGGCCCGGCGAGTTCCCTTCCGAGATCGTCCCGGCCGTGAAGGAACTTCACACGACCAACGCGGCGACGGATGGTCTTCTCGGTGCTCTTGGAAAGTTGGGCACCGGCGGTGATCCGACTGGCCTTTACCATCTCATTGTTGGTGATGGTCAAAACGCCTTCGTCGGCAATGGCTTGGGCGGCACGAGTTTGCTCAACGCCAACGTCTTCCTGGAAGCAGACGAAGGAGTTCTCAACCTGCCTATCTGGCCGAAGGAGATTGATGCAGGGGAACTGAAGAAATGTCAGCCTTAACCTCCCCGTCACACAGAAACTTTGCAAGGACGCTAATATTCGAGATACAGATTACAAGCGTGCCGCCGGCGTCTTGGAGCCTAAGAAGTACCCAAAGGATTTCCCTAAGCTACACAAGCTGGAGACCCTCGAGAAGCAGGCCAAGCTCATGGGTTGGAGCGAGAAATTCGACCGTGTACCCCAGACCACCCGCTTCGAGGATGGCGAGAACAGCACTGGTGTCTACATGCGAGCCTCTACGCTCAGTGGCCAAGACACTACCGGCCTCAACGACGGCAGCAAGTCCACAACACTGGTGAACTATCTCAGTGACGCCTGGAACTGGGGTACGGAAATGTTCTGCCAGTGTGAGGTCCGTTATGTCACCAAGGCGAAGGACCGCGAGGGCTACATCGTGCACTTTGCATGGCACGGTGGAAAGCGCGCCAATTTCAAGGATCTCTTTTACGAGGATCTGATGTGGGTTCATGCCAAGGAGCTGGTTTTCTTCGGCGCTGGCAGCATTGGAACTACCGAGATCTTGCTCCGCAGCAAGCAGTTTGGCTTGGACGTGAGCCCAGATGTCGGACACGGCATGAGTGGCAATGGTGATATCCTCGCATTCGGGTAAGTGGAAGATGCCTTCTTCAAAAATACAGCCGACTAACTCCATCGTAAAGCTACAACACTAGCGAGTATGTCAACGGCATGGGACGCGAAGACCCTCCCCCGAATCGTCCTGTCGGACCGTGTATCACCGGTATTATCGACTGCCGGAAGGGCCTGGACAACCCTCTTGATGGCTTTGTCGTTGAGGAGGGTGCTATTCCTGCCGCCCTAGCGCCCTTCTACCAGGCAATGCTCACATATTTGCCCGGCAGAGTGTTCCCCGATAACATCTCCATCAAGGGTGCAGTCGGTCACGTAACTGCAGCCGTCGGCAGCCGCTTCTTCGGCCCCTACTTCCCCGATGGAAGCACTGAGAAGACGCAGTGTTATCTCATCATGTCCCACGATAGTAAGTCTTCCTGATCATGTTTGGCGGTTATTGGTCTAACCAAGTCATTTCAGGTAGTCAAGCAACCATGCAGCTTGATAAGGACAGGCCCCTCATCAACTTCTCTGGTGTTGGCAAGTCGCACAGAGCCAAGAAGTTGGCGGGATACTTGGCTAAGCTTACTAACCTGATCGGCGGAATCTACGTCGACAGTCCATTCTATGCCGCATTTGGTGAGAAGGAGATCACTGTCCATGCCATGTAAGTTGAAACGTTTTTTATGAAGTTGCAATGCTTGCTAATATTCGGCTAGTGGTGGTGCTCGTATGAGCAACGACGGAACTGGCGCCAGCGGTGGCGTGAACCACAAAGGTCAACTGTTCAAGGGCACTGAAGGTGAAGTCCATGAGGGATTGGTCGTTTGCGATGGAACCATTGTTCCTGCGGCTCTCGGTGTCAATCCTTTCGCGACAATTACGGCCCTCGCAGAGAGATCTGTCGAAAAAATCGCGGATGACTTCCATATTGAAGTTGATCTTAAGACAAAGAACGGTACGTATTGTTGGTTCCTGAATCCAAAGTTCAATCTGTCTGACTTGTACTGAACAATCCCAGGCTCCCTGAACCTGTTTGGCAAGCCGGCACACGATCCCTTCAAGGACCAACACCCGCCTGTGGCCAGAGTGCAAGAAATCATCAACACAGCCAGAGATGACATGACTCCTGGCATCGCCTTCACCGAGACCATGGACGGATGGATCCACTTTGGAGAGGATTCCAAGACATTGGATTTCCAAAGGGCTACCTTGACTGCCAAGAGCCGAGGCGAATATGCCCGCTTCTTCCTCAGCGCCAGATCATGGAACACCCACAACCGTAAGTCTTCATCTTTGTGCGTCAGGCCTTTCCGGCGCTTACAAAAGTACATGTAGTTGTTCACGACAAGGAGCACGAGGCCAACCTTACCGGCACCTTTACCTGCCCCACGCTTGGTGGTACATCCATGGTCCAAGGCGGCAAATTCAACTTGTTCAACGATGATCCGAGATCGCCTGATACTACCAACCTGACTTACAACTTCCTGATCTCACAAAAGGATGGCAAGAAGTTGCATTTCAACGGCTACAAGGTTGTTAACTCGGACGTTGTATTCAACCCCCTTAATCTCTGGAAGGCCACGACCACTCTCTACTGCACTATTACTGAGGTTGATGAGCATGACCAACCCATTCACGAAGAGGTTCGCGGTAAGGGCGTCATCCATATCCGCCCCACGGCCTTCCTTCAAGAATGCACAACCATGGAAGCAACCGGATCCAGCCTCTACGCCAAGGTTTCTTCAACCGCCAACTTCCTCGGATACTTCACCGCCAAAGCAGCCGGAGCCTTCCTCACACCTTTTATCCCTCAGATCTGGCCCAGCCTGCCTTTCAACAGCTACCAGAACCCCACACCCTGGTCGGAGGAGATCACAGTTGAGGCCAACGATCGCGTCAAGACGAAGCTCTTCATGTGGGAGCCGCAGACTATTGGTGGCGACGCAAGCAGGGCGCCGATTCTTTTGTTCATCCCTGGTGCTGCTGTCGACCAGCAGATCTTTGCTTTGCCTACAATTGAGAAGAATGCGGTGAACTACTTCCGGGCTAAGGGGTACCGCGTGTACTCCATGGTACACCGCGTCGGCAAGACCATTGTCGCTCAACAGAACTGGACCACATACGACGCCCGCCGCGATATCCAGGCGGCTCTCAGGAGGATTCGCAAGAGACATGCTATTATTGACAGGCTGGACGGTAGCGGCCCCTCGTCACCGACATACGTCGTAGCGCACTGCGCTGGATCTATCGCTCTTGCTTCAGGTCTGCTCGACGGAAGCATTCCTCGTCAATGGCTTAGCGGTGTAACCGCGTCCCAGGTGTTCATGAACCCCAAGTTCCCCAAGGTCAACAACCTCAAGGCTAGCCTCCCCATCTCCATGGCCAACATCTACAACCTCATCCAGGGCAAGTGGTTTGACTGCACCAGCACACCTCGCGATGGATACATCCAGCAGGCTATCAACCAGTTGCTTCGCTTCTATCCTGTCGGTCACCGCAATGAAATCTGTAACTCAGTTGTCTGCCATCGCAGCTCTCTTGCTTTCGGCCGGTTAGTATAGCCCAACACTTGTTGGCTTCCTCCGTTATTAACATTTTCCAGGCTCTGGTCGCACAAGGGACTCAACGAGGCCACTCACTCTCAATTAGAGAACTTCGTTGGTGGTGCTTCAATGGCAAATCTGAACCACTTGATGTACCAAGGCACCCACGAAGTCGTGACCGACTCGCAGAACGAGAGTCTCGTCACACCACAGAACATCGCCCGCCTCAAGGGTCTGCCCATTTTCCTCTTCTCTGGATCCGAGAACGAGGTCTACGCGCCCGAGAACACCGACACATCCTTCACCACCCTCACAGAAGCCAACGGCGGCGTCTGCTATGAGAGGCAGGTGTTCCAGAACCGCGGCCACTTGGACGCCTGGATGAGCCCTACCGCCCACAAGGATATCTTCCCGCGTGTTGAGCAGCACATCCAGAATGTCCTGAACGACAAGTATTCGCGACTTGAAAAGTTTGCATCAGGAAACCCACTGGGACTGAAGAAGTGATGCATAATAGTACGAGAATTTTCGAGGCCGTCAAGCTGGCATTGAGAGGCATATTCGTGGTTTTGTTTGTTGAAGAACTCGCAAATTCGCGAAATGTTTCGTAATTCGTTTCCCGAGTCCGGGCAATTTTCTTTGTGAACCAAGATAGTAAAATGTACCATACCTTAGGTACAAGATGTAATAACACGCTAATACCACACTGCCCAGTGCACCATAACCAGAACCGAGGGCACTCCGGCCCCGTCACTGCCTCTGTTGCTGCTCCGCGGAGTAGTTCAAGACGAATTTCTAGATGTGCGACTGTCACGTGTCAAATCAGGCATCTTCGGGATTCCGAGCCGTAGTTTTGAAATACCGGAACCGGAATTGAAGAACGAAGTAAGCCTTTGAGCTGCCGTGGCAAGTCATCTTCAGCCTGCAGCAGATTGCGAAAGCTAAACATACATCAGATAAGATTGGTCATCCCACACAGCCGTTTGCTCGTCCGTAGTCCCGATGAACGTTCCATGTGAGAATGAGCGTTCCGTCTTACCTTTTTCGGTGTCACCTTGGCACCGAAACTTCTCAGCTCTCATCGTATTGTCAAACATGAACTGCTGTTTCTTGTTTGTGGGGAAATGCAGCCAAGAAGTCAATGGTGCGGGCTTTGCTTAATATCTGCGTGTCGGCCCCAAATTGTGAGTTGAGGTGAGGCAAGTGAATAGAAGCTTCAGAGATACGTATCCAGTGGTTAATTTGTTACAATGTCTTCGGAATCCGGTAACAATACTCGCCTAGAACCCGGCCGGAGGTGATCCGGGAAGCATTAGCCTAGAGGCAGCGGAGCCGCGGAGTGGGGCCGTGCGTGGTCGGAGACGGGCAGAAATCAGGCCGATGGATGGAGACCCGTAAACCCCGAGACCCCGATGGCTGTGAGGATGAAAGCGGTTTCATACGTGGGATGAATGACGCATTGGATGTAGCTGAGAGCTGTGGTGGTGTGGCTTTCTGGTAGCTTTGTCCATAGCTCAAGCTCGTACACACCGGCTTAGCTCGATTTTAGTTTTGCATAACTCTGCATAGCTTGCGAGCTCCCGCACCCGAATCACCTCATTCATCATGCGACAAGTCGATGATGAGGTGAAGTTCTAGAAGAGAACTGATGGTGCTTGAGGCCGCGGCAACAGCTTGAGCTGCTATTTGTTCTCGCATGGAACGGGTTCCCACCTCTCCCTCGCACACCGTCTGGTCGTTCCTTCGGCTCGTTCGGGGATTCGAGTTCCATTGGGTGGGATGGGCGGGGGAGAGTTTCACTTCGCTGCTGTTGTCCGATCCCGTTGACGTCAGCTTACCATTGGATCTCTAGCTGTTGGCGTCGTCCCTAGTGTCTCTGCCTACAGCCATTCCGCGTACGCAAAGTGCGTGGTGTTTGCCTCCCGGTGCCGAAGAGTCGAACAAAAGGATCCTTATCTGCATTTCCCCCAGATTGATCGAGTTCTGACATTCCCTTCTCCCTTATCAACCTTTTTCCAGAATCAAGGTAGCATTCTTATCTGGAAAATCAATTCAAAATGAAAGCTGTTGCAGCCCTGTCATGCGTGGCCGTTGCCAACGCATTTATCCTTCCTGATCCTAAGATTTTCGAGCAAGCGGCCATCAAGAACGATGACCACGCTAATCGAGGTTCCTGGTGGGACCGCGTCCCTTCCAAGGACTCCATCGTGAACACTGTCGAAGATGGTATCGATTCCTTGTCCGCACACATTGAGGGTGCATTGCACTCTTTCGAAGAGACCGTCGAGAATAAATTTGACCACCTTTTCGAGGAGGAGATTTTCAACGAACCCAAGGTCTCCGACAAAACCATTTACGAGCTCATTTCGAAGAGCGAGCACACCACCGAGTTTGCCAAACTTGTCAATGAATACGAGGACATTGTCAACGTTTTGAAGAGCACAGAGGCGAATCACACACTTTTCGTACCAACGAACCGCGCCTTCGAGCATCTGCCCAAGCACAAGAAGCCCAGCAAGGAGGTCATTGAAGCCATCTTGAAGTACCACGTTGGGATTGGCGACTACGATGCGAAGAGGGTCCTCCGCACCCACACTCTCCCCACGCTGCTCAATGAGAAGTTCCTCGGCGACAAGCCCCAGCGTCTTCGCACCAGCGTCGGGCTCGGCGGCGTGCGCATCAACTTCTACGCCAAGGTCGTTGCCGTCAACATTGTAAGCACTCAAAGTCCCCATGGCTCATTAATCCTAGAAAGCTGACTTGCCATCCACAGCGCGCCAAGAATGGAATTATTCACGCTGTCAATAGCCTGATCATCCCGCCACCCATGGTCGGCCGCGAACTCACCCTTCTGCCCAGCCAATTCTCCACGCTCTTGCTCGCATACGAGAAGACCGACTTCGTCAAGTACATTCACGGTGTCAAGTCCACCGGCACCACCGTTTTCGCCCCTTCCAATAACGCTTTCGCTCGCCTTGGACCCAAGGCGAATGCGTTCCTGTTCAACACCGACCTCGGTCTTAAGTACCTGAGAGCCTTGCTCAAGTACCAGATCGTCGGCAATGCGACCCTCTACAGCGACGCGCTGTACCGCCCCGATGAGAAGAAGGATGTTAACACCATGGAGCACTACCACGTTGATCTTCCCACTTTGCTGGGCAAGAACATCGCTGTCGATGTTGCCACCTGGGGCGGCTGGACCAAGGTCAAGCTCAACGGCTACATCCCCATTGTCGTCGCCGATGGAATTGCCAAGAATGGTGTCATTCACGTCCCCGGCCGTGTCCCCATTCCTCCCCACAAGCACAAGGTCGATTACGTTGACGGCGAGATTGAAGTCGAGGACTTGAAGGAGAGACTCTCCGAGTACATCGATGAGAAGGAGAACGATGCTAATTGGCTCGGCGAGGAATTGTAGTGGCTTGTGTACATGTATCCATCAGATCAACAAATAGCCGCCTGCCATCAGTAATTTGAATAACAAACGCCATAATGCGGGATCTTAGCGATACATATGTGCCTCCGCGAACTTCATGGAGTATGCCCCGACTGACTATGGCCATGCCTCTTCCACCTCAGTGCTAGGGGTGCCATGGCGATATTGTGGCATCATGTCCTAATTAATTCAAGATACATGACTTAGGAACAACATGATCTACCTCTGGGAAGCCTTCCTCAGTGAAATAGCTTTGGCCTCGGCCTCGGGCCGGTCTCGAAAGGTATGTCAGCCATTGGGTAGAGATGTCTCGCCTTTCGAAGCATCGTCTTCATAGCCTCAACTACCGGGAATGTGAAGCTAGACTAGGAGTCCTAACTCGTTCCAGCAAAATCTCAACTTCTGCGGCACTCAGCCCTACGTACTTGGAGCCCTGGCATTACAGCCTAGTGTCCCCAGCCACCCTCACTGCTTTGGCGTGTCTGAGCCAATCTGGGTATTCCTATGCTGGCGACCCACCGAGTAAATGCTGCGCTCAACGTGCTTCGAACTCGGCTCTCGATAAGCTGTTTCCTACGATTGTCAGCCTTGCAAGTTAGACCGTGATAAATGTTTATTAACCCTACATGAAGCACCTACTTCACCGAATCTTACCAAGCGCACCAAAGCATTCTCGGCACGCGTGACAAATGGCAAGATACCACAGAAAGAAAAGCCATGTTTTGCGTCCATCGTGCTCCTGACCTTGGAGCGAATCAGCCTTCTCAACCAAAAATGCCATGGCTCAGCCCGCATGTGCCTACCGGTACTCACCAGTCCGGAATCTGACTAGCACCGGACTTCAGCTCAGGGTACCGGCGCCTTCTAGGAAAACCACACATGATCATTGGCTCCGATCTTTGACCATCAAATGCTGTTGATGCAGACTGCAAGCGGCCAAGCGGCCTCCCTGGCACTTGATGAGGCTGGTACAGTAGTGCACCGGAAAGACGATGAACCACTCGTGGAGCTGAGCTCCTACAGCTGCCTGGGTGTCTCAAAGCCACCACAACAAGATGGTGGCTTTGCTTTGGTGTGTGCGACCCAAGGACCAAGGGCTTTCTTCATGTTGTCCATTGGCGAATTCCTGGCTCGGCGAACTCTGTTTTCATTCCCAGTCCTCTTCTGAATTACTCGAAAGCTGCATGTGGACAATGGTTGTCGTCTCCGTCTGGTCTGAATTTGAATATCAGGGAAACAAGACCTCGAGTCCGCAGGTGTTCAACCATTAATCATGCCGTGATACAGGCTAGTAGCAAGCATGCATCAAACCCCGCCCGCGATACAGCCGACCTTTGACTCGAAAGCGCAGTATAATCTGCAAGCTACCGAGGACATCGACGAGTACCACAATGGGCTGAACGAGAAGAACCGTCCACCTCCAATACCGACGCGTCCAAATTATCGACCAAAACCATTGCAATGGCCTTTCATCGCATGCATGATTCTCGTCCTCTCCATCTTGGTGGGGATGGTGATCTATGCTCGCAATACGATGCCAAATTCAGACAGCACAGCAGTCATTGAGCCGCGCCATTACTTGGATTCACGGCAGGAGTCCAGTTCTATCAATGAGAGGTCCTCAAGTCCAAGTGGTTCAGTACAGGACCTATCATCTTCAGACTATGGCCCGTCTTCTAAGGGACAGCTGTCGTCGATCATCCAAACTAGTAATGCTGATCTCCCGACGACTTCTGGGCCTGGGCGATCTCCTACTCCGGAGTCAACTTCAGCGGCTCCTTTTACTACATTGTCATTGGAAACAGCTTCCAGTGTAGTTTCTTTAGTTTCAACGCAGCAAGAGCAATCTCCAACTGGTCGACAAGAGAAGGCACAAGTCACAACCATCCCCTCGGCATCAGAAAGTGAGGCACAGAGCCAGACCGTCTCCCGACCTGCCTCATTTGCGCCATCTGACGATCTTCCTACCGCGACTACTATAGCTACAGATTATCCAACTTCAGTGGCAAGATCTTCATTATCATCAGGCACTTCAAGATCCAATGATGCTCAGAGTAAAGAAGATGAACCATCTTTAGTGGCAACATCATCATCATCATCATCACCAGGCACTACGAGATTCACCGACGTTCAGAGCAAAGGACTTGACTCTATTCATTCTCCCCCGTCAACAACCGTAAGACCGGAAAGCTCAGACAAGATTAAAGACACAACGGATTCGACAGTAAGCGGCAAAGAAGCCAGCTTGATTTCCTCCTCTGACGGTTCGAACCATCGCAAAGCTCCTGTCACTAGTGCTGCATCGTCTTCCAGCTCATCATCTTCGGAGCCCATCGGAAACGACAAGGTGTTTTCCATCATCAAGTCTGAGTTCACTTCTACAGTCACAAGACCTGGATCCACTTTCCAGTACACAACATCCATCGTAGCCAGTACTTTGTGGAGCTATTTGACGACTGTTGAAACAACTATTCCCGCAAGTACTGGCGAGAACACGTATACGAGAGTGATCACAACTGCGACGCAAAAGTCGGTCACGAGAACCTTGGCAAGTAGCAACGTGGTTATTACCACGACGATACCTAAGCCAATCACCCAAACAGATACTATCAGCGACGACCAAACAACCTACTACCAGACGACAACCAAGACTGTTGGTCGTGTGACAACCTCAACCTCGGCTGCACCAGGCTCGACAATCGTCGAAGTCACAAATGAAGTGGGAGAGGCGACCATAACCTCAACGGTCCAGTTCACATCGCCGGCAAGGGTCAGCACCTACAGCTCTGTTATTGTTTCTGCCGTGCCGACGACAATTGCAAGTGTAGCTACCTCGACGGCGGCGGGGGTAGTGTACGTATCCGTAGGAACAACCGAAATTACCAAAGTTGTTACCATTCCTGGAGGGTCGCGAGGCCAGCAGAGCGAGCAGCCTAACCCAGTCACACAACTCATCACCAGTGTGTTTGACGGGAAGGTTGTGACAGTTGTGGAAACAGGAAAACCTCAGGTTTTGGTGACCGGTGCTGGAGGCCTAGTCACTGCCGTCCATACGCCACCTGCAGAGACGCTCATGACGAGGATAGGGGGCGAAGAGACGCAGATGGTAGTCACAGTCACTCCGTCTCTGGACGTAGGCCTGGTTGCCGTCCAGACGACCATTGCTGGAAAGCCTACGGTGGTGCTGATTCAGTTTGCAAACGCCGCAGGCTTCAAGCCGGTGTCTTTGACTCTTGTGTCCCAAGTCGGCGGCAGTACCGGCGTCTTCACAACCACCGACGCCCCAGAGATTATCAGGACAACCATTGATGGTAAGGAGACTTTGATAACTAGAACACCGGCCCCGAGAGAGTTTACTTCTGTAATCGGAGGAACGCCAACCACAATCACGATGGTGACAACGCCGACTGGAAGCACGCCTTTATCGTTCACAGTGATCACGACGATTGGAGGCTCTTTGAGCACGTTCATCTCAACTCCAAGTCCCACCACATTCGTCACTTCAATATCAGGTAAGCTCAGTACGATCACATCTACTCCGAAGCCTAGTACACGAGTATCCACTATTGGCCCCTCCACGGCGGTATTCACCTCGGTTTCCCATCCAGGGTCGACGAGCAAACCGGATACCGTCATAACCGAAGTCGAGAAGTTCGCCTTCACCGATGGCGATTACTTTCTCGGCAAGTTTCTTCCGGTGATTCTGGCCGTCATAATTGCAATTCCTCTCCGGATTATTGATCTCAACGCGAAGTTGTATCTGCCTTTCCACGCGTTATCGCAAGAAGGGGGTGCACTCGGAAAGAACAGCATGACGATCCAGTTCGAAGGCTGGAATGGGTTCTTGGCTCCTTTCAAGGTTCTCAGGCAAGGCCATCCGGTCCCTTTCATCACGACACTGATGGTATGGTCATCGTCTCTCCTGGCACCCTTGGCAACCGAGGCGATTGGGATGAAACTACATGGCAAATGCAAAATTACAGCCATCGACGGCTGCGGCATTCAACTAGGCGTCTCCCCAAAATCAGCCTATATCTTAATCGCGTTGCTCGTTCTCATCGTCGCTCTACTGCTGGTTCTCCTTTACCTTCTTCGCAGTTGGAAGACTGGACTTCACGCAAATCCTTGGAGCATCGGGGGCATATCGTCACTTTCTCTCAACGCAGAAATTCGGCCACATCACGCCAACTTCAAAGCTACCGAAAGAACAATGGCAGACAAGAACTACATGCTGGGTTTTTTTAAGAATAGACACGGTCGAGACGAATACGGCTTCATCTACTATGACGAACCGACCGACAACTTGCAATCGGCAATGTCAGGAGCGCTATCGACTGATGATGAGTCGCATATTATCAAACATCCGCACGGCACTGCGATCAGTGACCGGAAAACAACTCCTTTTATCGCGCTTACGTACTGGTGGCGTATTGTGTTCATATGCTTTTTGCTTGCCTTGTTCATCATCATACTTTACTATCATATCACGCTTGGTCTTCGTACTTCTTTCAAAGACTTCATGGATAGCCAAACATTCGGACTCCGTTTCTTCCTTGCTATGTTGGGCGTTATCATTATCTTCTGCTGGGAATCGATTTTCATCAGTGAGTAGCCCCGATCCCAGCATCAGCCTGGATCGACAGCCGGACTAATACAAATTACAGGTATTGCTATTGTCAGTCCTTATTATCACTTGGGCCGGCGTTCGCAACGACCAGAATCATCCATCCTTTTGACACGCCCCACGAACGGATTTTACGGCATTTACGCCGCCATTATCAACGGCGACATAGTGCTGATGCTGGCAGCTTTCATGTCCATAATAGCCGAATTTCTTCCGATGCTGTTGGCCAATGTACCGTACAATCTAACTCAGACGCTCAACTCCCACAAAATCTGCTCGATGATTAGTCTGACGATCTTGGCGCTGATGATCGTGGCTGTGGGGGCAAGTCTATTCATCAAGTGGCCCGAGATGCCAGTCGATCCTCGGAGCATTGCCGGCGCAATGTATTACATCAACGAAAGCCAAATGTTGGATGACTTTGAAGGTCTGTCGCAGCTGTCTTCGATGGACAGGAAGAAGAAAGTTGGGGAACTGGGCCGGAGATACTTTTACGGCGCTCTGACCGGAAAACATGGACGGCGTATGGGCGTTGACTCGGTGGAGAGCGTCGAAGACACTGTGTATACCGGGGCGAATTGGCTTCCACCGCATGATGGCAGCGCTGCCAATGGACAAGGGGTTTCGCCACATCATGCCCACGCTAGAGTCAGCGCCGAAGAAGATCCTGGCCAAAGACATACATGTCACGAAGAAGGGAATTGGTGTGACAATACTGGCCTCAGGGGAAGATGTTAGGACATTAGTTCATCACAATTAAATTATCTGCTAATACTGAATGGCTAAACTTCGACTTGATATAAGTTTGTCGCTATCATTTATCCCATCTTCTTGTTCTAGCAGTGAATCGCCGGACTACCGCCTGCAAGTCCACCAAGCAGAAACGTTCCGAGCCAAACACCACTGAGCACAGAGAGAAAGTAGCCAACATTCATCGTCATGACCGCAAGCATCCTAAGAAAATTGTTAGCCAGATTGACATCATGCAAGTGCGAAGGTGTGGCTCACAGGAGATATCCGATCCCTCCCACAATGACTTCGTAAGTGGCCCTTGCAGCAGCAGCACCAGCCCGCCACCCTTTCCATCGTCCTACAATATCTTTTCGGATCACCGAGCCGGCCTGTCCTGGCTCAATACTCTCTGCATGGTGACTTGTCAAGGCTTGCTTGTCCGATTCGTAGGCGGGGTAGTTTCTCCAGAATCGGTCTTCGAGTACGGGCTTCAGAGCGAGTAGGAGGCGTAAGATCGAGCCCAGCACAATGAGAAAGATGCAGGTGCCCGCATATTGACCGGGACTTGTCGGTGTCCATGCGTCCGAGTAGAGTGGTGTTTGGAAGGCTTCGAAGAATGTCATAGCCATTTCAGACATTGACATCGACATGCTCGACATATCGCCGGAGGCAGCACTAGTCGATGTTGCCATCGCCATGGCTGTGCTGGTCGCCATGTTCATGTCCATTTCGGTCGACTATGGAGTGGTACTCCGATCGGTGGATATTTGCTCTGGGGTGATTTAACTTTCAATTCGCCTGGAGATTGCTGATACAGTCGATTCTTGTCGATGGAAATTCGCAGAATCGATGTGGTAGGGTGTATTGCAGTGCTGAGTCTTTGATAGACAAGTCTGGTCCCGTCGTTGATATCGATGGCGGCATCATATGATTTATCAAAGTTAAGAAGTCTCTTTCTCTCATCCATCCCAGGGAGATGATACCGTAAAGTGGAAGATCGGCACGAGCGTTACTATGAGCAAGTTTCTCCCTCCATCCCGGGTGGCACGGCATCTGACGTCCGTGTCGTCGGAAACAATGTGGGAAAAGAGGGTCCCGAAACGCGCAAGTTGACTCCATTCTCCACGTGGAAATCTGCCAAAACACAAAGCTTGGCCAATTGCAAACCCTAGATCGAGTTGCCGTCGCATCTGTTGGTTGTCTAGTGTGACATTAGAACCGCAGTGTGGCATGGGTGGTGCTTATATTCCGGATGGGGGGAGTTAACGAGCTCAAATGTGCTCAAAACCCTGGGAGTTGCAGCGCAGGATTCCCGACTTCACGAATCGAAAAAACGCGCTCAAACGTACGTGGCAACCGGTTTGATACCCTGATAGTCCTCAATATCACGGCAGGACTGTTTGCGATGACCAATCAGTGATATTCTACGGGCGTATATGCCAAATTACGCAAAATCTACTTCAGCGTCATCTGATCCACAAGCGAAGTGATTGTCAGCGTTTCGCCAAGCACGATGTTCATGACATTTGTATTGTAAACTCTTCCTCGCCCTCGTCTTTGGGCAGAATTTCATTCCCAGAATCCTACTAGGTTAATCGAAGCCTAACGCCATCATGTCTCTACCATGGCTGAGCCAACCGGTCATGTTGCACTCCAGCCGCGATGCCGGAACTTGCTCTATGACACCTGAGCAATGTGCTTTCAAGACTGGCTACTGGGTGTTTTGGTACGAGGCTGATCATCGATACGGACTACCCACCATTGCTTTCTTCGTAACAGCAATTTTGCTTGTAGCTATTGCCAGCTTTGCCTCAACATACGCCCCGATATCGTGGAGAAGAAACACACTATGGCTACGGATCTTGTCATCAGGCCGTCTCTTGTCCTACAAGAGCTGGCGGCTTGGTTTCTGGAACACCCAGTCCCTAGGCACATATCTACTCGGCGCTGCAGGTGCTGTGTTCTTCTTAGGTACTCCTACCTTTTCACCTGAGGCCCTGTGAGATTGAAGACTAACAATCTCCTAGCAATGACCCTTGGTCCTCAGCCCTACTACTGGCCTAACACAAAACAACTGAGCTTCGGAAACTCGCCGCCAATTGCCACTCGTGCCGGTTACATGGCTTTGGCATGTATGCCATTTCTTTTGTGAGTATTTTCATCAAGTCCCTGAAGATCTTGTTTTTGGCTTTTCTAATTCTGTGCTCGTAGCATTCTAGGCGCGAAGGCCAACCCGATTTCAGCCCTGACCGGTATATCCCATGAGAAACTCAATATCTGGCATAACTGGGTGGCATGGGCTATGTTTGTACTTGCGCTGGTCCATACGTTTCCCTTTATCGTGTTTCACATCTGGAAAGGCGACATAGTTAAGCAGTGGAATGATGGAGGCATGTGGGTTACAGGCGTCATTGCTATTCTAGCTCAAGCATGGTTGACGTTCATGTCTATTCGTTGGGTCCGGTATGTCAACATCTTCATCATTTTTCCACAGGTTTCTGGACGCAGACACAGAGGCATTACTGACAGTTAACTTGCTTTGCTAGGGACCGATACTACGAGCTGTTCAAGGCGACTCACCTCTTTGCCGCCGCTGTCTTCTTCATTTTCTTCTTCATTCACTGCGACTTCCGTCTCACCTCATGGGACTATTTCATCGTCACAGCTGTGCTGTACGGTCTGTGCTTCTTTTACTCACAATTCAAAACCTTCATGGAGCACGGTGTCAATCACGCCCGAGTATCACTCGTCACACCACATTGTCTAAAGGTCGTCATCGAAACCAATACCCGGTGGACACCGGGACAACACGTGTATCTGAGGTTCCTCACTGGCGGCATGCACTCACTAACTGCCCACCCGTTTACGATCTGCTCGATCCCACGACACGGCCAGCGAAACGAAATGGTCTTCTATATCCAACCGAGAGGAGGAATCACTGCTAGGCTTGCTGCGATTGCTCGGAAATCTCCGGAGGCATCTGTTCGAGTACTGCTCGACGGTCCGTACGGTGGCGTTACGGATCGATGGTTCGCTGGCTTCGACCGAACGCTCATTGTTGCTGGGGGCGCAGGCGCAGGATTCTCTTTGCCAATGGTGGAGCACTTTCTACAACGACAATACGAAGGGACCGCAAACCCCGAGATGGAAGTTATTGTGGCAACCCGTGATCTGGAGTTCCGGGAATGGTACTGCAGAGCATTAGACGACATTATTGCTCGACATTCCCTTGCCGAGAACACAACGACGCCATGTATTTCGATTTCTTTCCATGAGACCGGAACTTCGGTGCAAAACAGGTCGACGTCGTCAAATCCAGAATCTCCGACATATGATGGAGACAAGGAGGTGATTGAAACACCCGGGAAGTCTTCTGATTCCGAATGGCAATCGCCTTCTGGGCTGGTCAGTCTACGCACATTCAACGGACGACCAGATGTGTCCGCAATTTCCAGGCGAGCCATTGAGCAACCAGGGAGCGTTGGCTTAGTGGTCTGTGGTCCGGCATCATTGGTCTTTGACTTGGGTCAAGTTGCGGCCGAAGCCCAGAAACGTATTCTGCAAGGCGGAGGTGGTGCCAGGGAGGTCTGGTTCTACAAGGAAAACTTTTCGTAAGTCTACATTGCCTTTCACCCATCCAAGTCCTTGATTGCTAACTTGGCCCTTCAGATATTGAATGCACTCGCATGCCGCAAAGACAACTTCCAGTTGCCAGCGTTGCACTAAGTACTAGAATACACGTTTTTGTCGCCCAATTTGTTGCCGTTAATTGTACTGAACTTTTATACCATCCGGAATTAGGCTTGATCCCACCCCAACCACTTCCTGTGATCTTGAAGGTACTCGTGCCGTGATCATCCCTGGTGGGACGCGATCCTACTATCTAGCGCTATGAAATCAATTGAATAATCCATGTCGTTTAATATAGACACATTCGTGGCCTTAACTTCGTCTAAGATCAGGCGTTTCCCGACGCTTATCGGATGCATTGATGTTGAGCGCAATCACCATCGACTTGGCAGAACTCGGAGACCAGTGGGCAATCCGTGGCTTGTTGCTCAGTGCGGGTATGAAGCAAGGGACGGACAGCAATGAGCCCCCGGTTGAGATTTCGGTTACGTTACCATAGCACAGCATGCGTTGTTACATCAGACCGTTGATTTGCGGGGCAGCTCTGCTGATCTATCTCTGAAAGTTAGATGAAGTGAGGGGTGATAACACTGAAGCCGAGATACGGACCAAGACATGTAGATTTTCCTGCATAAATGGTCAATCCTCCTAATGGCAATGTAATGGAGGCGTATTGGAAGTGTTCGAAGAGGGCAGGCTATAACATCAACTTGGTGCCGAAACAAGCTCAAGTCATGGCGCTCTTGCAGCTCATCACGGCATTCCTTTGCACTCCGGTGTTGGCAGGGGGGCTCCAGCTTCTCCCACCCACGCTCCGAACTTTGGACTCCCCGTCAGGTGCCGTGTGGCAAGTCAATAGAAGCCCAAAGACCATCTACATCGAGAACAGTCTTGCTTCTAAAGCCGACACTGATGGTTTGACTCTCATTCCACCAAGCGGCCACGACTTTGCGAAGCTTTTCCAACAAGACATTAGCGAGCTTACAGGCGTCAACTGGACATTACAGCGCGTCAATCGTCTCCCCAGCCCCGCCAACGCCAGCGGGATTCTTCTCGGCTCTTTCACCAGCAATGCCTCGTCGCTCACCTACGAAAATGGCAACCCTACGTCGGAAGGTTATGAGCTCGTCGTCTCCCCGTCTGGCGCCTTCATCGGCGGCACCGGCGCGCGGGGGATGTGGTGGGGGACAAGAACCTTGCTCCAGCTCCTACTCGTAGGGAACGGGACTGTGCCCACGGGGCGATCGGTTGACGCGCCCGCTTATGCCACGCGAGGCTTCATGCTCGATGCCGGACGGAAGTGGTACGCGCCCGCTTTCCTCAAAGAGCTGTGCAGCTTCGCTTCCTTCTTCAAGATGAGCGAGTTTCACTATCACCTCAGCGACAATTACCCGCTCAACCGTGGGCAGAACGCGTCGTGGCAAGATGTCTACTCCCACTTTTCGCTGCGGCCGCAAGATGAGAGTTTGCTGCCGATTCTCCATGACCGAGAGAACGAGACGTTGTCCAGAGAAGACTTTGCCGATCTTCAGAGTCATTGCGCGTCAAGAGGTGTGACTGTCATCCCAGAGATCGAAGCACCAGGCCATTGCCTCTACCTCACCAAGTGGAAGCCTGAGCTCTCATTGACGAAGCGCGACTTGCTCAACTTGTCTCATCCGGATACCATCCCGACCGTCAAGCGTATCTGGTCGGAGTTTCTCCCCTGGTTCGAGACAAAGGAAGTTCATGTTGGCGCAGATGAATACGATGCGACGCTGGCTGACGACTACATTGGCTTTGTGAACGAGATGTCTTCTTTCATCAACTCAACTGCCGGTAAGAGAATTCGCATCTGGGGAACAAACGAGCCATCCGAAAACAAGACTATCTCCAAAGACGTAGTCATCCAGCACTGGCAGTACGGCGAGTCGGATCCGGTTCTGCTAGCAAACAATGACTATGATGTAATCAATTCCGAGGACTGGTGGGCATATATGTCTCTTAAGAACGACCACATGCCAATTCTTCCTGCTCGCTACCCCCAATTTTACAACGAAACCCGAGTGCTCAACTTCGCCAACGAGCCTAAGTGGCAGTGGACACCGGCGGATTTCAACCCGTTCAACAAGACCATGCAGTTACCAGATAACTCACCGGCAAACAGAGGCGCAATTCTTGCGGCATGGAACGACAATGGTCCGGATGCCTCTACCCAGCTGGAGGCGTACTATGCCATGCGCCGAGGCATAGCGCTGGTCGGAGCACGCGCGTGGAGTGGCAGCCGAGGCGCAGAGCTCGTAGACGAAGGGGTTGCACCTAGCATTGACTTCTTCACGCCTCTCGCACCGGGGCAGAATCTCGAGCGTAGAGTGACGAAATCCAAGCCTACATGCAAAGGGCCATTAGTCTCATGGTCTCGCTCTGCCAATGGCTCTGAGGCAGTACACCTTGGCCATGGAAGTAAGGGCATGAACTACACCCTGACAATGGCTGTCACTGGACCTTTCACACTGTCCGGCCCTGATACCGCTCTCGCATTAGATGAAGGTGGCAGCCTTTCATTCACTGCGGACGGATGGCCTTATCCTCTTCGGTCCGTGAGCGAACAGGACGCTATGCAGCTTGACCCTGGGCACCCAGGCCGGATTTGGTCGAACGTGTCTACATCGACACACGAGGCAGTTACGGTATCGAAGCTCCCTGCGAACGTCACCATCGTCACAGACGCGCTCCATGGAAGCATGGCTTGGATCAATGGACAGTTTGCAGGGCGTTTCGAAGTGTTTGTGTATGGGGGTCGTAACACGCTCTTCAGCTGGAGCCAAATGGCATTTGTTGCGCCGTTGGAAGATGTACTTGGCCCTGGGATACAGAGTCTCGTGGTCGACAATGTTGCCAATTTTACAAGCTAGCAAGAGCCCCTATAAGTCAAACCCCCCACTTCCTGGCACCCCCCTGTTTCTGGCACCCACAAAAACGATGGGATCACAACCCAACCTCCTCATTACTATTAACTATTGATCCTCAACCACACCCACTACAATACAACTGCCAGCCTCACTAGGGCATTCAGAGTCGCTGGATTCAGCCGTAATAACCTCCTTTTCACCCGCTTCGATTTGAGCCCGATGGATATCCCTGATGTTCGCAAACTTCGTGTTGGGATCGATCTGAACAGTCTTCCTCTTCCTAACTGCAGCGTTGGTAACTTGAGCCCTCAGGTGAGCCAGCTGCTGCTGGGCAGCTGCCAGTTGCCAGGCCTGCTCTGTGAAGCCTTTTTTCACCTTCCTGAACAGCAGCCGTTGAGTGCTGGTATCATTGTCGAGTTGGGTGTATAAGTGCAGTTGACCGCTGAGCTCTGCCAGCTTCCTGGGTGTCGACCAGACCACTGCAGAGGAAGCAGAATCCATGGCTCAACAGGGGTAGTTTGTTGACCATTATGGCATCGCTTTTGCCCCGACTGGTTGGTTTGGGTGTGGTGGGCTTAGCAGAAGGCTCAGGTAATACCATAGGGTTCATCAGGGGCTTAACCATCGCTACAGGGTGTAGACCAGTCCACTTCCAACCACTTCTGATGTTCGAGACTGATAGACCAGCAAGTCGAGCCTTCTGGTAACAGTCCAGGAAGTTCCTTTTACCTATAATGGTAGAGTCGTTCCATTGAGACAAGTAACCGAGCTCCTTCCGATAGGCTGACTTAACAGGGCTGAAGACAGACTGGTCAAGTGGCTGGAGGACATGAGAGGAGTGTGGTGGTAAGAACAGTAAATGGATATTGTTAATATAGCAATTCCACATGAAGTCTGTCGTCGTATGACTCCCATGCCCATCCACAATCAACAGTCGAGCCTCGCCCTCAGCCTCGGGCATAGTCTGTGGGATAAACACCTTCTCTAACCATTCAATGGCAGTTAAGTCTGTAGTCCAGCCATTATCTGTTGCTGTAAACTCCCACCCATCGTATGGAACCAGATGTAATGGAAACCACTGTTGTTGGACCGTCTTCCCTTGAAAATGATAAGAGGACGAAGTGCCCTACCCAAGGCTGAGATACACTCAATGATAGAGACCCATGCCCTCGACCCAGGTTGTTTCTTGCGAACAGACGTCGTCTCAGCCATGCCCAGCACTAACCCATTAGCCCTGACCCTCGAGGATGCCAGTCTCATCCATATTATATCTGTTGGCTGGTTTGATGTCCTTGATCTCAGGGATAGCAAGGAACTTAAACCAGTTCCTAATGACCCAGTAGATGCCCCATTAACGCGTCTAGAATCGATGGAACGACTTCTCTGAACCTTAATGATAGGGTTCCTTCTCACGAAGGCATAGATCCAGCCTTTCCTAATGGTTTGGTATCCCCAGCAGCAGCCAGAACTCGCTCTGCGAATTCCTTCACCTGTTGGTGCGTTGGTGCGAGGCCCAGCGAAGCCTGAATGCGAACCCATTGTGCCAGCTTACTCTCCTGGTCAGGAGACAGCCTCTGCCAGTCAGCAAAGCCACTTTCCTAGTCTGACCACCTTGGAGACGTAGTTGGAGGGTTGATCGTGGTATCCCATACTCCAATGAGGCTCTCTTTGACTCTTGCCGTAGCCTGACGAAGCTGATCTTCGGTATATTGAGGCATTAGATATAGAAGAAGGTATGTGCAAAAAATGAGCCCATTTGGACTCGAATTGAAAATGTTGTGATAAAAGGAGGTTGGGGGTGGGCATTGCGTTGTGGTGGATTTTCGCGTTTTTGTGGGTGCCAGAAACAGGGGGGTGCCGGGAAGTGGGGGGTTTGACTTACCAATTCCAAGAGAGCGCCTGTTTAGATCGTGGAAAGTTCCATTCAATCACGGCTCTTGTCGAACACTATGTGCAGTCAATTCTCCAGTGCTCTCTCCGATAGTGACGCCTTCCTAGATGAGAACTAATAGGCCCGGTCCTCTGTCACCAACAGCCCGCACCCTAGATTCGATCTCAAGCGGACTCCCTTCATGTATCACGAAGTGCTCATCCTCAAGTTCATCCTCGAGACCAAGGATCCTGTACACATTCCTTCCGACCAGGTCCAATGCTGACTTCTCATCCAGCCGCCCTTCGCCATTTTTGTACGCCGCACCCGCGAGCAAGCCAAGGTCTCGCACGATCCAGTCCTCCTCTAGGCCAATAGCCACATCAACTCCGGCCTGAATCAAGACATCTACACTTGTGCGGTTTGTCAAAGGCGCGCCCGTAAGCGCCCGTCGCTGATCCCAAGAAACCGCAAAAGACTGCATTGGTGCCAAAACAACTCCCACTTTGGCTGTAGATAAGGCGTCAGCGACCAGGTGAGCTTCGGCGCCACCGTATACGACGAAACGAAGCCTCTTCGGGCTATCTACGAGCTCTAACAGAGCCTCTTCCACGGTACTTTTGACGTCTAACAAAGCAGCGATGGTGTCTGCGCTGTGCACAGTCACCACGAGTGCCATCTGCCCTTCGACGACTTCTCGGAGAAACGCAACCTCCGTGTATCGGTCTTCCACAAGGATAGTTTCATTCGCAGCGAGCGATGAGACTGCCTTGAGAAGCTTCCGTCGCAGCTCGCCAACACCTCCTGAGATGGATGAAATTCCATCCACTCCGCTTTTCGCGGAAAGATCGAGAGTATAGTGCACAGCAGCGTCGCGAGCAAACACAGCACCACGGTCGAGAGTAGTTCCAGTCCCGGTGAGAAATCCAGTGCTTGTGCCATGATGCGTGCCTAGAGCTGTGAACTTGGGGGCCGAAATGGCTCTGGTGACACCATAGCGGTGGGCAACTTGTAGTTTATCTGTATCGAGGGCGAGCCCGTCAACACCGCGACTGAACTTACCCCCATCCGCACCGTTGTCGGTGTTTCGCTCCGAGTCTATAGCGTTCAGACCGAGAGTTGAGCCAAAGGCGATAAAAGATGGTGTAAGATAGCCCTTTCTTAGGTGAATTAGAGCACCTTCATGGCCAGACGCGACTTTGAGCTCAGCTTCGCAGCTTCCAACGCAAGTAATCTTGCCGTTAGAGACGGCTACGTTGTATGTTTTCCCATCGGCTGCTACGCCACTCACTGTCGCGGAGTGTAGTACCTTTGAAATTCCTGTAAAGACAACGTCGCCCCGCGTAATCTGAGGCTTCTCAGTGACCTCGCCGAGACCCTCATCCGAAATTATGGTACCCTCATAGGTCTTGTTAAGTCTGACTGGATTGTCATATTGAGCAGTACCGTCAATCCAGATCTGGACTGGCGTAGCCCCAACGCTCAATGGGTCACTATCCCACACGACGATATCGGCATCGAAGCCAGGCTTGATTTTGCCGAGGCGATGCTCCATCCCCAGCCTCTCAGCCGGGGCAGTAGTGACGGAGGCTAGTGCAGCGTGGTAAGGCAGGCCATACTTGTACGCTTTCGCAGCTTCAAACACGACGTGCTGTGCATTGAGCACCGGGTTATCGCTCACGTAGATGGGCGTCAGTCCAGCGTCGTAGAGATGCTTTCCTGCGTATTCCGAGCCCATAGCAGCTTCGGCTTTGTACCACATGTTGTCGGCGAAAAGGGCGGACGCTGGTGGATTGTTTCCCCACGCCCGTTTGAGGATCTTTAGAATGATGAGTGAGTAAAAGGCATGGCAAGGACAGATACCATCACGGGCTTTACGTTATGCTTACCTCGGGCACGAGATGCGTCTGGTGGGCGTGATGAAATGCGCGGATAGGAAACTTGAACTCATTCGTGTGATCCACGAAGGCTTCAAGGTCATTGATGGTGTAGCAGTGAGCATGAACATGGACTTGGCCCCTGAGCACCGCAACCAGTGCCTCCCATTCTAGATCGTGGCTGAGATAAGTCTGGACATTGTCAAGACCTTGAGCAGCGGCGTGGCACCAGTCATCTTGCTCGCGGATCAACTTGGTAGCATGCTCGAAAGCCTGACGGAATTCCCAGCTTTCACCGAGACGGCTGTACGGGCCACGTTCGCCCGCTTTCCCATGGACCTGCTTTGAATTCTCACCACAAGCCATCTTCATATGCCGCCAAGTGCGATCCGGGTCAGCTAGCATATCAATTACGCTTGTTTCATTGCGTCCATCAGCAGCTCCGATGGCGTGCTTGATCACAAAGGCTTCGCCGCCAATATTGTTGCTGGATCCAGGAAGAATCAACGACGTGGTGACGCCGCCAGACTTGATCACCTGGAGTTGATGATCCGTCGGCTGAATGCCATCGATGGATCGGACATAGGGAGTGATGTCTTTCGACAGCTCGCTGACATCCTCATTGCCGTGGAGTGTTGGCAGTGAGTGCACTGCAGCATGGCTGTGCATATCGATGATGCCGCTGGTGAGCGGCCGCCCACCCGCATCGTAGACGAGAACATCTCCGGGCAAGGAGGCTATCGCTATGGCCTTAGCGACCTGCTTGACTAGGCCGTGCTCAATGAACACGTCGGCTGAAATCCATGAATAGTCGGCAGACCCTTCAACCGGCTCCCCGACCCAAATAGTTGCGTTCCTGATGACTGTGGGCTTCTTGCCGTCCACGTAGCGGGCGTTCCGTGTCCTCCCGTAACCAGGCGGATCATTCGGTCGACTGTGCAGTTTTCCGCAAGTCGACAGATCCTCTCGCAGCTGGCGAGTTGAAAGCCCATGAATCGTAAATTCCGGCCCGGAGACGCCGCCCACGGGGTAAATCTGCCTCCATTGCGCGTAGACGATGAACGCGAGGCATGCTAAGCCAAGAACGCGCAATGTTCGCGACCTGCGGGGTAAAAGTTGGAGAGCCGGATGATGCCGCCGCCGCACTGACGAAGAGAGGATACGGCGACTTTCAGCCGCTGTCGCCGCTGGCGGGCTGTAGGGCGGCAGCTCATCTATCTTTTCCGCGCCTGTGAGTGGTGCCATTGTTTGAGTCGGTCGTCGGTGTCGGTGGCTGAGGAGGACGACAGAGCCACATGGTAGGTTTGAAGTCGGACAACAGGACACATACTGGTAACAAGGGACAACAATGGTGGCTCCAGGTCTGTTTGGGTGAGGGCGCCATTGTCCCCAGCTTCCAAGGGGGGCTTGATGATCGCGACAAGGATTTAGGACAGGGCTTAACTCGCCTAACTTAGTTCCGGGCAGCCCAAACTAAAACTAAACTCCCTCCCAAAGTACCAAAGCTCTGTTTCCGCAGCTGACGCTGTGTTGGTGCTTATGGGTCTGTCGGAACCTGGAACCACTGGAGCGTACATATATGTAGCCGTAGAGGTAGCTCTGTATGAAGACGCGGCATGGACTTTCACCTTACTGCATGCTCAGTAGCTAGCTCGTTCTTGTCTGTCATACGTTGCTCGTCCGGCGGGATGCCTCGATTGACTCTGGCCACTGACGCCATCTAGAATTGGACCCCGCTCCAATCACCGTGCACCCAGATGGTACAGCAGAGGAAAAAGAAATACCGCATGATGAATACGAGAGTGTTTGCCAGACTAACTCGGGAAGAGATGCCGACATCTTGAACCAGGCGCCAATGATTCAGATACGGGATCTAGGCTGTACTGCAAGAGCCCTTTCTGTTCACAATTCTGATGGAGGATACAATGTCATTTTCATCACATAGACTTGACCTTTTCATTCAACTGTGAATCCCTGGAGGGGTATCCCCCATTTCATGATATGTCAAGCTAACGTAGGTACATGTATTTGGTCTCATTTATCTACACTAGTGCTGCCGCTTAATGGGCCTCAACCAAAGTCTCCTTCACAGCCGGAGCTTGCTTAAGCTCCTCCGACACTTCAGGCTCGTGCGCCTTAGCGGTCGGCTGCGCGTACGGGGTCCACTCTTCATCAGCAGTCATACCGCCGTACAACATGGACGGGGGAGCAAGAGCCTGGATATCGGGGGTTGCCTTGAAGAGGTAGAACTTCTCATCGTGCCACTGACCAGCAGTGACGTATCTGCCCTCGCTGTCCTTGAACATGGTGTCGTTCTCGGCGCGGAGGAAGTAAGCGATGGAGTAGCGGTGCTGCTCAGAGTTGTAGGGGACGACGCGGTGGATGCACGACATCATGGTGTGGCCACTGGCAAAGCGGAGGGAGTCGCCAACGTTGATGATGGCGCACCCCTTCTTGGGAGCGACGAAGCCGAACTCCTTGGTGCCGGGAGGGCGGATCTGAAGTCCCCACTCCTCGGCGAAGAGGAGGGTGAGGGAGCTGATGTCGGTGTGCTTCTGGTGGCCGATCTGGGTGTCCTTGATGGGGTCGGCGGGGACGTAGTGCATCATTGCCAGTGTGGAGGTAGAAGGGCGGTCGTTGCGGTGGGCATTCTCGTAACGTGCGGCGCCGACGAGACCCATGGCGGAGGAAAGACCGGAGAGGACGGTCTTTGTGACCAGGTTGGATCCGGAGATGGCGTTCTTCAGAATTGCCTTCTCCTTATCATTCTGGAGGATCTTGGGGAACTTGGGGTCGGATCTTTGAATCTCATCACGGGAGACCTGGAGTGAAGTAGGTTAGCTGGAGCTCATATTTAACGATCCTAGGAGTTCCAGGATAATAGCTCACCTTGAACATCTCATATCCGTCTCTGGTGTTGGGAAGACCACCCGTTCGTGAGCCGACGGGCTCATATCTAGAAGTGAGTCATGAGCATTTTCTGAGCATTCCAATCTATTTGATGCGGCCGATACTTACCCGAGATGTGCGGTGATGAGACCGAGCTCGTTCTTGTCCTCGATAGGGGCCTCAAAGTAGCGGTGCATGAGCTCCAGAGTCCTTTGTTGGTCGTCGAGGAATCTGCTGCCATCGAGGCCGTTCAAGTCCAGGTAGAAGAAACCCTGTTGCTGGCAAATGCGGAGCATATTCTCAAGCTCAGCTGGCTCTTGGGAGAGGACGCGTCCAAAGTCCACAGTCTCCATGGGATAAACGGGGACCCTCTTCCCGGACCACTCGACGGTCTGCGGGACTTCAGTGGAGATACCCATTATGAAGCTGTGTGTAGGGATGCGGAAGCTAAAATTCTGGGTAGTGAAGACGGTCTTGGAAAATCGAGGCTACAAATCGTAGGCAGAGACTTGGTTTCGACAGGATGAGTTGCTCTCCCAAGCTTCAACCCCACCGGCGAGCTCTCCTACTTATACAATTCGAGACGACCAAGGCCCAGAACCCTGAAGACCTGGACAGCTCTGCCTGAGCTACACCTGAAGCTCCGAGTCTGATCTGCGTAGGCGCACCAACAAGACCCTTTGCCCCTCATTGTCAGCAACGCGACGAGATCCACACACATCATCATTTCTTATCCTCCTTCCAGATTGCTGTGATTAACAATGTCCCATTCAATGAGACCTAAAGTTTCATGCAATGGTGCGGGGTCTCGGGCCAATCGGCACATTTCTTCATATCACATGCGTCCCACGCCAATGAGACTATCACTGACAGCTTGAGGAGCTCGATGCCTCTTTCGTATCAAAAGTGGATTTCGTGCTCTAGCGCTGCTTGATCTGGTTCGTGATGGCGGCACTCTGGTAGGACCCCGCTGTCTCACACTACTCAATCGGATACGGTCCGTCTCATGCAGGGCGTAGGAATTGCACCATTTCTTGGCCATCTTATCATTTCTGGAAGAAGAAACCATTGAGTCCAGCCGAGAAGGACAGCGCCTCTTTTCAATCTCCAAGTTTAGCCAGATGCGTTTTGTAAGTACGTGGACGAGGGCTGTTGGCCTAGGCAACACCACATAAACAACAAACACCCCGCTCTCGGTAGATTTCCTTACATGCTTGGAGGGGCATAACTTTCTTCGAAATTGCATCCTGTCGGTCTTTTACCCGACACTAAGATTGCCAAGCTCGGCAGATGGCCCATCGTGCAATGTAATTGCTTATTCATTGGCTGATGACGGACAGAAGGGATTCACCACAGCTCACCAATGTCTCTCCGGTCACACGAAGCTGTGCTGAATTTCTGCAGCTAGGCTGACAACTTAGTCGCAGACAACGTGTCGTCCGCGTGGCAGAAACTTGGGCCATTGTCGAGACAATGCGATTGTCTTCTTGGTGACAATCGAAGAACCACAAGGGTTCCTCTGAGAGGCCGCCACCATCCGGGAGTATCCGCAAGAAGACCCCTGGCTAGGATCTGACACTAGGCGACCAACCACCCATCCCATCCATCTCAAATTGGCGATGCGGGGTAATCTCAGTGCGGTATCCGCGGGAGACGCGAAACATCTGCAAGCGAGCAGCGTTGCACACATGTAGTTGGGATTCGGAGGAAAGACCCCGACTACAACCCCCACGGCGATGGCTGACCGAGATGACGGAGTTAAGATGGATAAAAGTTGAGATGACATTTGACGTCGCAACAAACAATTGGCGATCAGTTCGGCATGAACACGTCGAAACTTGGCATTCTGTGGTGGCCAATGAGCGATCTGGAGTCGCAACCGAGGTTGCACTTTTCTCAACGACAGTCGCATTGGCCAAGGATGCACAATTAATAAAACAGGTTGGAAGAATCTTGGCTTGTATTCGGAGTTTCGTAGTTCAACTGTAAGTCCGTCTAGTTTGGCGATAGCTGTCAATAATTACTTGGTACTCTGCTTCAAGCATTGTAGTCCTTTCGTCGCAAAGCAACTCAACATCTGTTAGTTACTTCAGACTTGTTCATGGACATTATGACGCAACGCAATTACTTTGTAGCATTGTTTTGTTTGCAAAGGACGTGCAGTTCAGTGAAATTGAGCTAAAGTATTGCGCACATATGTCTATTCTTCATATCGATCTAACGGACTCAGCTCTACTCCAAATCCCAGACAGGAATCGTTGATGTGAAATACCCATCAACAAACTTCTCTCTATCGAGCTGGGCTTCTGAAACAGAAGATCCATTCCACCCCCTCCGACTCCTCTCTCTGAGTCTATTTGGGGCATCCAATACCCCAGCCAGTGACAGTGTCGCAGCAGTCGGCATCCTATTCAGCAATCAGTAACAAGCTTAAGCTCAAAAAAGTTGCAGCGACTTACACAAGTGGCGGACACAGGAGTGTTGGTGCCCTGCTTCATGACGTTGTAGCAGAAGTTGGCCGAGTTGGAAGCGCACCAGACTGAATCGCCGTTCTGGTTCATGCAAGACTTCTGGCCCTTGCCCCAGCAGCAGTCTGTCTGGGGGTAGTTGCGTCCGACTTTGCACTATTCTATTGTCAGCTGCTTTGTGACTGAGAAGGCTCGGAAAGAAAGAACGCTTACCTCAGCGGCAAGAACGGCAGGAACAGCAACAGCTGAGAGGATGGCGGTGATGACGACTGAGAACTGCATTTTGAATGAAGGTTGATGATCGAAATCTGATCTTGAAATGAGAGTTGGTATAGTAAAGAGTGAAAGACTGGTAGTTGATTGGATGTGTGAATGTGAGGATGATGAGAGGCAAAAGACATTTAGAAGGTGATGTCAACGCTTCTTATATCCTTCAAGCCTCGTAAATGTGTTTCCTAATTCTCCTATGCGCCCGACGCGGCCATATTCTCGGTGATCCCGATTCCACATTAGACTCACGAATACTCAATTCTTGACAGGATAATCTAAAGGAGTTTTGCCAACGCAATGAGACTGAGCTTGGTTCGCAGAAGGCGGTGCATTCTCTAACAGTCTAGTGCAGCTACGACTTCCGAGATAGGTAGATTCCCATCAAACCCCGGTCTCCACAACACCTCGTAGGGCTGTGAAAGTGCCGTGCCTGACTGCGGTACCACCCAGCGGTCCAAAACTACAATCCGAGGCCGCGCTATAGTTGCAATTGCAGTGCATGGATGGTCTTGACTCAAGCATTTTCGGCTCAAGAGGGCGCGATACCGAGCACCTGGGTTGATTAAGATCTATCCGTACCTGACTTGCATACACCATCACGGGCCATCCTCTGCTCTAGGCCGTTTGACACAAACTTGGCTTACGACGCACAGAAATTAGCTTTGCAGGGAACAATAGCTTAATGTGAGACAACGAGCACGGAAGCACGGCTGTCAGTTGATAGCTGCTTCATATTGCAGAGTCTAATTTATGGGGGTAGTTCACATAGGGATATCGATGAAATCTAAGTGAACCCGGCATACCGAGCCCGAGTTGTCAATGGAAAAGCCTCATTGGGTAGGCGAGAGAATGCCTTCAAGAGTCTTTGAACTTTCTTCTAGTCTCAACTCCTGCCAAGAGTCGATGTTCTGTAAGGGGTGGTGAT